GGTTGATATCAGTCAAAACCGTGTTAGTGGTTTACGTAGCCAACTCACAACTCAATTTGAGATCATTGCTGGGGTGCGCCGTGAAGACGGCACACCTCTGAACCAGCAACAGCAGATACATCGACCGGTAAGGCCGGTTAGTGAGATAGTCAGGTCACTGAACGAGGCTTCCGGGGTAGGAAAAAAATCAATCAAAATTTTTTCATCAAAATTTTTTAAAATATTGCTTTTTCTATAGTCAGCATTATATATGCACTAAATGGCAAAGTGAATGCTTTACAATTGTTTCTTTTCCATTATTAATGCTTTCTGTTGGCTCTGATACATGTAACATGCATGTGAATTTTATATTTTTTTCCTTTTCGGACTTTCCATTGTCATTTTCATTTCACTTTGAATTTGTTATTATGAGCAGTGGGGTCCGGATGAAAACTGGAAGCCCTTCGCACAGTGTCTTCAGTGTGTCCTCTTTCGGGAGTTCAAACAGCGTCTTCAGTTCGTTGACACTGTTTGGGTAGTGTCTACAGGCGGATTTCAATGCATTTTAAAGTGTTAGATCAATATTATCAATGTGTTGACATGTAATTCTATGTGATTTCAAGTTATTTGTAAGTACCGAATCTTTTCAGCATTTTATTGTCTTTGAAAGTCGCTGGCTAATAACATAAGATACTTTTTTTAGAATCGAAAGCAAAAAAAAAAGCTTAGTTTTAATTGTGTAGATTAGCAGATATTTCATTAAATAAATATTCATATGCATTATTATTCATTTATAAATCACTTTTTTGACATATTTTCTCTACTACTTGGCTGTTATGATATCATGCTTGGGTGATTACACTATCCCAAGACTAATGGTTTATGAATATACACTAGCCCAGGACTGGTGAATAATTATTTTCTAGTCCAGTATAGTAACTAACTTGATTACATTATTACTTTGATTTGCTTTATCTAACACTTTTTTTTTTCTCACTTATTCCCCTTACTCACCAATTACTAACAGACCTCTAAGCATTTCGAGCTACCCAAAGTTATCAACAGCGACTTGTGCTTTTTCTGCGGCAAGCGTATCTACGTTATGGAGCGTATGAGCGTTGAGGGCCTGTTCTTTCACAGTTCGTGTTTCAAATGCTATTACTGCGGAATCTCACTGCGTGTCGGTAGCTATAGTTACACCCCAGATGCTGAGAATAAACAAGAAGGTACGTTTAATTATTTGGTATTTTCCATGTAACTTCTTTTAATATTCTACATAAAATTATAATCATACAAAGTAAATATCTACAAATTAGTTAGATATTTGATTTGCTTATTTTTTGTAAATTTAATAAAAGTTTTATTCAATTAAAATAAGGAAATACTTTCGTCACAAATTTTAATGTGTAATATTAAAATGTTTTTTGTTCATATAATTTCAATTGGTTTATTAATTGAGATGATGAGCTACTTAATAAATTGTTTTTTATCCTCAACACATTTTTATTAGCATAATACATTGGGCCAAAAACAAAATTCTAAAAAAGCCATTGCATTTCATTGGAAAGATTGCAAGCATGACACAAACTTTGGGCTGGTGTAAAATTGTATTTTATAAATGTTTATCTCTATTTTATTAGGACTATACAATAATGTGATTGACCCATTCAGCTACTGTATATCCAATTTTACAGGGAAAAAAGGTTTACTTGTTTTTCTTGTTGAAATTGGCCTAAGATCAGCTGTTCCTAATCTCCCTGCCAGGATGTAACAATTAGTGCCCGTAATCATGTTATCCACTGTACCATTGTAGGTCACAGGTCAAGTTAAGCTCTTTAAGGCTTGTTTAAGCACCTGCTCTGTTTGACTAAGTTCAGAAAGATTTCAATAATGATTATTGGTATAATTTAGACCTTAACAGGATGGGACTGTTTTGAGTGATTCTGTCATTGGTTTAAAAATTATTTTTAGAATTTGTAACTTATGAATGGAAAATTTATTTTTAGAATCAATAATGATTTGTATTTTAGTAATTAAGATGAAGTGTACATTTTTAATATAGATATTAAGATATGAAATCAGTCTTGACTAATTTATACAGTAACTAATTTAAATCGTTCATTCATTATACTAAATCATAAATTAAGTGTACTGTTATTAAAATGAAGTTTTAATTAATTGTAGATATTTAAATATAAAGTTAGGAATAATTGATACTTTAAAACTACATTTATTCCTAATTCATTAATGATTATTAATTTTATGTAAACTTTTTAAATCAATTTTTCAATTTGGGTTAGTCCCTTCTATGCCATTAAAAATGTAAATATCCTGAAATTATCTATTTTTTGAGTAGTTATAATTAATTTAAAATTCCTGTATGAAAATTTTAATATTTTATTAGAATAATATTTTGTGTGGGTAACTTAAAAGTAACATAAGGCTCTATATATAAATCCCTATTTAATAATGTGGTTTGTATGTAAAACATTAGATTGGAAGAAATGTATAAAACCATATTAGAAATGGATGCATTTATTTTTTAATCCTAAAAATTGCATGAATAAAATAATTAATAATCATGTTAAACACAACATTGTAAAAAGGTTTAATTGTGCAGTAAATATACCTCTGAACATTTTGGAGAGTGAATGTCGAAAGTACTATATTAATTTACAAAATATAGATACCATTTCAATATCTTATATTGGGATTGTCTCGCGGTATACTGTCCAATTCACCACCAGAAAAACCCTACTGGAAATAAATTTTCTGGCTTTTGTGTTATCTTTGGTGTATGTCACAGTGAAGAAATCCATTCCAATTCAATGCTAATTAATAAGTAGTAAAATTTGTTAAATAATAATAAAAAAGTAATTAGTGATTTCGGTATTAATTAATAAGCAGGAAATATAATAATTCATATAAATACACGAAAATCATTTTTTCCATGTAGGAAAGTTTTTCTGTCGCTTACATGTTGGCAAACAATTCACAACTCGCAAGAGGCGCATCGAGGATATGATAGACACCTCTGTACAGATGCCAGATGTCAAGATAACCCCATCAGCCGAACCACAGCAACCTTCTGACAACACACCTAAGGTGCCAACAACACCTACAGACACATTGGTAGCACCACTACATAAGAAATACAGAGCAACACCTGAGAGAATTGGTAAATGAAATGTTACTTTTTAATACTATGTGCCTTGCTACAATTGCAATCGACTGCAGTTCTTTGACACCTGTTAACTCAGTTCAGTTCGTTCCTCCCACTGATGTCAGTCACATTCAAGAGGCAGTCTTCTAACATCCAAAAATATGCTGGGTCCGACTCCATTTCTCCATGAATATCTGTCTTGTTTAAGACACTTTACTGTTTTTCATCTACTCTTCGATGTTTTAAGCCGAGGACACACTGCATCGTCAAACGGTCAAACCAACATCCACTGATGAAGCCACTTCCTTTCTTTTTGAGCACTTTATGATGTGATGCCATTTGCTGATTGTTAGTGGCAGTCTGGGCAGGTAGTCGTTACGAACGAACTGCTGTACTTGCCTAACTGCTGTACTTGCCTCATCTCATTGCAACGTCTTTGAAATCACGCCAGCCGATGAAATAATGTGCCCCGCTCTAAATACACTGCTTTTGTCAATGCTTTCTTGATTTCTTTACACGATGTCCAACTACAGTAAGCTTCTGCTGCACATTTTTTTTAATGAATTTTTGGGCCATGTCAGTAAGCTTCTACTGCCTCTGATGATTTCCTATCATTAAGTTCACTGTAAGTAGCCATTTTTCAGACTGATGGCAAAACTGGTGCTAGTAGTATTGAACAGAAAAGGCTCCCATAAACAAATGTAAGGATAGTGTTTTAAACAGAAAAAAGAATGGATTCAGTTTTAAACCAAAAAAATTTGTATATTTTTATAATCACTTTATGCAGTTGCAACATCAAGTCATCTTCATCTACCAAAACGATTTTTGTTTTGTTTTAGAACTAAATTACATGATAAACTTTACCGCTTAAAACAAAATATGCATTGTTTTTTTTTAAATACAGAACTTGAGAATATGCATGCAAACATCAAGGCTGGGCAAGTGGAAGTTTCGGAGGAGGAGCTAGCACTGTACAACCTCGGCAGCTCCATGAATATGGACTCAGAGGACATTAGGTAAACATTGAACATAATACTAAGAATACCAAATACGATTTCAGATTGATTTTTTGATTGTAAGAAATTGAAGAATGCCTAGAGATTCATTTATCATTCTGTGTAGTTTTTATATATTATAAAGTATTATAGTAATTTTTTTTTATTTGTATGGCGAGACTTTTATATACCATGTTTTCTATTACCCATCAATTGATGATGATTTCTAATAAATTGAAATTTAATGTCATGAAATAATGAACATTTTTTATAACAAAAGTATTTCTATTTTTATCATGCCTGCCACTGCCATGAAATTGCCAAATAAAGTACTGTAGTAATAATTTGAGGTTTTTTTCTGTAATTATGTTATAAGTCAGGCTGCTGAAGGAAAACACTTTTGATATGTTGTACAATTAATTGTTTTTAAGTTTTTAATTGTTTATTAATGAGCCCCTTTTCCTCTCATTTTTTTTTAAATATTTAAAAATCTATTAAACCTTTCCCGAGTTTTTCGTCAAACACCCTTTTTATGTCATAGGAAAATCAGTTGTACATCATATCAAAGAATATTTAGCTTTAGGGCCTGACTTTAAGACCCCACAAGACCATCGCACGACAAATCCAATTCCGCTCCCTGTGAGCACCAGACGATGCGACGCCCTCTGCTGATTGTCGGTGGCTGTCAGAAAGGATTGTCATCAAAAACGATCCGTAGCGCAGTGAGTGCCTGGCCTGTTGTTTAATTTATATCCATCAAAAGCTTAAAATTTAAAAGTGCCATTTGTAACTTGTTTACTTCGCATACTCCATTTTTTTTTTTTTTTTTTTTTTTTTTTTTGGTACGACTTAATTTTTAAGTTCACCTTTGTTTAGGTGCTGTTGGCAGAACCATTTTTCTAAATCTAATTTTTTCCCATCCTCCTGGCAATGTTTCAAAAATGTTTGCTAAATGTGGTATAAGAAAGTCCCACCCCTAAAACAGAGAGTTCTTAGCAAATGTTTTCTGCTACAGCAAAATTTTCTTGAGAAGTGGTATCAGTAGTATTCCATCTATTTTCTCTCTTTCTTAACACGTAAAGTTATATGCTATATTAGAAATGTAGAACAAAATGTAGAATTTCTGCAGACGGCGTGTCAGCAGCTAGAGTCAAGTTGCCCAGTTGCGAAAAAATTGCTAACAGACACAGTGAGCGACACACAGTATAGGAAAATATGTAGTGGCTCCTGCTATACGGCACATAATAGGTCGTGAATGATGGTTGGAAGACTACTACTTTTCGGATTACTAGGAAATTGAACTTACGATCAGAATGGTTGCTAATTCTCCAAAAGATACAGGCCCCCAAATAATGAGGCTTTTTAGACCTAGATTACTACTGTGTATCTGCAGCTGACTTAGGCAGTGCAAGTCTTCAATCTGCATACTGCGAGTGAACTCTAATTTCACAATGGATTATGTGAATTTATAAGCTAGGATGAGTATAAGAATACTATCAAAAGTTATAATTTGGCTTTTGTCATGGGCAATGTTTTTAAACCATTACATTTACATATTTTTATACTGATCTCTTGCTTTGTTACACCAAGCAAATCTCACATGACCTTACTGGTACATGATCATTGAATGGTTGCATGGAATTAACAACAGTGCTTATTCTACATCCATACATACTTAATGCCTGATAAAACTTCCATTTAAAAATATTGTAATTAATATGGTGTTTCTCAGGTGAGTTTTGATAATCTCGGTTGAAGAATTGAGTAGGAAAATTCATATGAAAAATTTGGTAATATGGTGTTATAGTAACTATTATTATGGGTAACTATTATTCATGATTTTCTTTCAGCTCTTCTGAGTATTAAGATGCTATGTGCTACACTATTACATATTGTTTATGAAGAGTACCATATTTATGTTGCTTAACTATTCTCCGTTTCACAAATCACTGATTTGATTTTCTTGCAGTTCTTCTGAAGATGAATATGACGCCGAGATTGAGTATGAGTACGAAGGCAAGAACACTCCCTTAGGTAGGCTCTCTACAATGGTTGACCCCGTCGGGGATGGCACGGAGGAAGACATGTTTGAAGATGATGAAGAGTACTATGAAATTGAGGAAGGTGATGAAGAATATGATTATGAAGATGAAGAAGGGGAGGAGGAAGATGAAGGTCTGTGATCACAATGGACACTGTTCCAAAATCTTAATCTTCAAAATCTTAATTTGTTAGAAGTGTAAAGCTTTGTCTACACTATCAAATTTTATATGACAAAAAATTGTGATGTGCCCATATATGGGTACGGTGACGTCATATCACATATTATCAAATTGTATTAAAAAAAAGTTGAACGTGTTCAACACTATGTTCCATCACATTTTATGTGACGGTTTTTTGATGAAATTTGATAGTGTAGACAAAGCTTAACGCTGAATCATATTTCAGTCACAAAGTCAAAAAAATGTCGTAGAATATTAGTTTGTTCTGATATATGTTTCTTTGTAAGGCCTAGGATAGGTCTCACACAATGCAGCTACCATAGCCTACTTTTTGTTCCTCAGGTGCACACATTGGTTCTGAATCTCTGCAGTAATTAGTGATGGACAAATCATAAATTGTTATGATGGAAATTTAAGCTCTAGATCATAGCAGTAAAAACCCTCCAAATATAGTTTATCAGCAGGCTGTTATCTGTATTGTATGCAAATATACGAGTCCACAGGCTTGCATATGTGTTCTAAGAGACATCATAATGGTTGATGTGTTCATTGTTTGAAGTTCCAATTAAGTAAGGAAAATACATGAACTGAGTCAGTATATACAGAGATATGGTACCCAACTTTAGCAAAGGGTTTGTTTCTATTCAATTCATTTAAATTAATTAAATTCAAATTCTCACATAGCCTTTGTACTTTACAATTTGCAAAATACCTTTTAAAAAAATATATAACTAATCGAAAAACTTTCATGTTAAATGGTTGTTTACAGATAATTACGAAGTGATTATCATGTGATAATGTTTTTATACAGCGGTGGTCCCATAACGTTACCCAGGATAAGTACCTGGGTAGACAAAAGTAGTTTTTTGTCTAATTTATTTCAGATTTATATTTAATTTTTGCATACTTTTTGCAGATTCTGAAGAAGAGGAATACTCTGATGAGGAGGAATCTGATGAAGAATCTGAAGAGGAATCTGAAGAGAGTGAGGAAGGTGATGGGGAGGTAGAGGAAGACATTCTTAAAGATAAACCTCTTGTTTTACAAAAGAAGTCACAATTTTCCCACCAAAGAAGTATGACAGATTTAAAGCGGCAATGGTTAATGTCACAAGATGTTATAACAAAACCATGGCGCCCTCCTTCACTCGATCAACTGGACAAAACTGAAACAGAAGAGGTTATTGGTGAAGACATGAATGTTGAAGAAAAAGACATTGAACCAATGGAGATCAAAACAGATAATAAACTGGAAACCGATGATGAAGTGACCAACCCTAATGAGAAAGGTGATAAAGTTAGATGGCAAGATGCAATGGCAGCTGCAATAGCATCATATGAAGATGATCTCGGAAGCAATAGATGGCATGAATCTATTGGCAGAGTTAAAGAGGCAAAGGAAATGAATGACAGAAAAGTAGAAGCTGATGCTTCTGATGTCACTGTTCTCAGAGATAATGAATGCTCCTCAAGGACTTCTAGTGCTTTAAATAAGTCAAATGATTCTGCAAACCTTGGGAAAAGAAAACCCAAGGGTCCATCACATTCGCAATCTGTCTCTGCACTCTCAGAAATAAGTTTGACAATTTCAACTCCGTCCAGCTCAATACCATCTTCTCCAGTATCATCAATTATCTTGGAATCTATGTCTTACCAGGAAGACAGTTTAGGGGAGTACTTGAAAACTAGTCCAAAATCAGAACTTGACAGCATCTCAGGGTCACCAGTTATAGAGTCTTCCAGTGAACAGGCAGATATCTCTGTGAATAAAAGGGAAAAATTGGGCAGTACTTTCCAGGAAACTCTTGAGAAAGAGTTTCCAGATGAAATGGTGTCTCTGTCACCTTCTCCAGAGCGGGAACCTACTCCGTTGCCAGAAGAACCTGTACAGTCTCCGCAATCAGAAAAAGGTATTGAACCATCTTTGCAACACAAAAGACCTAAATCTATCTTATCACCCAAGTCATCTTCAACTCCATCAATGTTAACAGACAAATTATTAGAGACTAAGACGCGACCGCAAAGTATTGTTTATGGTTCTTTCCACGATTCATTAAAGGATGTTCCATCTATCGATGATGTAGAGGATGAAGTTCTTGAATATGAGAGTGTAGGCATGGTCATGAAAGATCATGATTTAATGAATATATCTGATAGTTCTCATCTTAAAGTGCCAACCCTGCGGGTAGCATCTCTCAAAACAGACACTCTAAGAACGAAAAATAAAAGGAAAAACTCAACTGGAACCACCAGGGTTATTTTAGACAAAAGGCGCGAGGCTTCTGTTTCTCCACGTCGGTCTGGTGGAATTAGAAGAAGTTTGCCTTCTTCACCTAGTGAGAATTCATCCCCTACGATAACAAAGACTGAGAAAGAAAAGGCAAGACAACTACTGATTGAGAAAATTGAAGGACCTCCTATCACTCCAGATGTTTGTCCTGCTGGGGATGTATCGAATGAATTTGCCAGTAATTCTTCTGAACTTGTTACTCCAAAGTCTCCAGATCTTAACCTAATTAGATATGAAAATGGCATTCCTTCTTCAGAATCTAGATCAAAGGAAAAGCGTTCTAGATTGAGTCGAATGAAACTTAAAAGAACAAAGCGAAAAAGCACATTGAGTGATCGAGAAGGAACAACAGAAAGAGTTAAGAAAGACCGAAAGGGCAGGAAGTCTACAGAATACGCTGGCGATTCTGCAGAAAATACCTTAAGTCTAGAGCAGAAGTCGAGGCCAAAGAGTGACAAGGCACCTATTGTCAGTATTGGTAATGAGGTCGATGGAGACCTTTCAATGCCAGATGTCGTTGCTGGATCAACGCCAAAGTTTGGCTCCAAATATCACAAACCAGGTTTGTCTACGGAATTATAGTTTGAAAATCATTTTATAACATAATTATTATAAGGTTATTGATTTATTCAGTGAACCGCTATAATATGTAAAAAGTAGACTGCAAATACAATTTTCATTGATATACTAACTATTATTATGAAAACAGCGTAAACATAAACATGTGAGTTTGTAGGACAAGCATGCATGCTGATTGGTCAGTTGTTGTGTGGTAGTCCAGGAATGCCATTGCATATAAATCCAGTGACCAGACTCCTCGCATTGTATTTTCAAACAAATGTCTGCATCTATGCAAATTATATTTAATTTTTAAGAATTAATCAGCTATGAATAGTTTTTCATAGCCTAGAATTCAACCATTTTCTATTATGTTATTTCGATAGCCCGTCGACTCACGATTGACCCGAAGTTGAACGCAAACATTGATGATCTAGCTGAATCCAGTGATGAGGATGAGAATGCAAATCAACCAGTTGTTGTTGCTGACTCCAAGCCAAAGAAATCCCCTCGTAGAATGTGGGGCAAGAAGTTTAAGGTGAGGAAACGATGGTTTACTGTCATATTCTGACAGAGTACATGTCAAATATAGGTGAGGTATATATTGTATAGGCTACTAATAATTATAGCTGTATTTTTATGTGGGTGTAGCGTACTTGTTATATGCGGATATAAAGCATAAATATCAAACAACATTGGATAGTCCTATGTATTTTATTTATATAAAGCATTGTCAACCTTGATTGTTATGCAACATTTAAACAAGTATTAACTGATGTTTTCATTTCTCAGGATTATATTTCAACAGATTTTAATATAATATCAGGTGTAGCACATTTTTTTTAGTTTATTGTCGTACATTAGTATTTTGAAATTCAAAGACTGTAATTTACTATTGATTCTTGTATTTAAGTAGTAGAAATATTTATAATATTCCTATATTTGTATTTATATATATATATATATATATATAT